TAATGCTCAAATAATGTTGGGAACATGTCAGACTTAAAAGTTGGGCCAAGGGCAAAGTTGGAACCCGAATCTTCGGAGGGGATTAGAATTCGATCGTCAACTAGGTCTTGGATGGCATATCTAATCTCTATAGAGAATCGAAGGACAGGCAGTGTGTTCAAAGGAGGGATGATAGTAATGACTTGATCTATTTTCCGTTCAGACGCCATCAAACAGCAAGGAAAGACTCAAATTTGAAGATAAGCCAAGGAAAAACTGTCAAGAGTAAAGTGGAAAAGAACAGCATCGACAAGGATTTGGGTAAGTAAGTACAATAAATGGGCCCTTTAATGTCACACCCCAGATCGGCTACGCATGTGATAGGTGTTACTTTAATCCACGGAACACCATAATAGAATAACAAGGTCGTAGCGTAACATAGTAGAATAACCCACAATATACAAACATACGCATAACTTACATACACATCTCAACCCATTACAAAATACTATTCAATAAAGTACACATTACACATTAGGATTTCTTTTATTCTATTACATGCTTGGGATACATCTTCCTAAGTTATACAGAAACTCTGGTAGGTTATTATGTACAGATCTCCCAGAATTCTCACATCTTAAAAAAGAGAAATAATGTAGGGTAAGCATCAACAGTTCAGTAGAGTAACTTCATTTTCAAGAAAACGAGTTTAAAAATATAATATTTTATCATGATTGGGAAAAAGTGAAACGAGTATTTGATACATAAATATATAAACAAAAACGTCATTTCATGCAAAACAGTAATAGTTAAGTAAAACAGTAAAAGAGAGTTTAGAAATTCAAGTACAATGCTACACTAGTGAGTAATTCATCCTAAAAGACCATTGAGGGTCCATACGAACATATGATACAACCTTTTGGGGGACTTCAACCCTGAGGAAGATGCACTCCCTAGTCAACGTTCAGTACCTAGGTACGAAGACCAACTGGGCTACCAGGCATTTACAAACTCAATGAGTATCCTCTACAACCTCAAACTAGAATGTAAACCCTTTTGCCCCTCGACTCGTGTGCACTTATATTTAGTTTAAAAGGATTACGGTATCTCATTTCACATGATAAAAGCAATCGTTTCGAACAGATGTGCGTTATCGCACCAAAACCCCAATCTAGATCCGAAATTTTTGGCCAAAGTTTAAAAACCCAATCATATGATTTTAAACATGCTAAACATTCATAAATAATGTAAAAAATAAATTAAAAGTATGTTTAGAAATGCCCTGTTTAATCCGAAATTAAGAAACCCCACCCTCTTGGTATTTTGATCTAAAATAGCCAAAAATTAAATAGCTTTGTTTTTCGATGAAATTTAATACACATACCAATTAACCTACCTAAAATGAATATAAAATTTATTTTCTCAAAATCACCCAAAAACCGGGTCAAATTGGCCCAAGAGGAGAAAATAGTCATTTTATTCCTTATTTTGATCCGGTTGTTGGATCGACTTGAATTTTATTGGGACCTCTGCACAAATATTATAGAACTTTTGGCACTAATCAGAGGTCGGTCAGATGCACCCTCACGAGCCAATGGGGTGCACTGGTGTACCACCCTTCACTTCATCTTCTTCCCCAAACCCTAAGTGTCCTCTTACCAGCCTTAGCCCCCTACTTCTCACCCTTATTTCTCACTATTAAGTACACCTTTTCACCTATTTTCAGAGTCTACTAACTCACCTCACAACCCTCTATAAATTCCCATAGGTGAGATACTTCGAATCCAACCCAAATCCAACCAAAATTCCACTCAATGTTGGTGAAAAATATGGACTTTCCACCATGGCCAGACCTACAAATGGTCTACCCCCCAAACATCAACCAAATGCATTTTAAATGGTTAAAATGGATTCCTTAGGTCCTTTTTAGTCTAGGAATATACCCTTTACATTAAAAACACAAGATTAACAAAGTTCAAATTCTTAAGAACACAAACCCTAACTTTCAAACTTCACCTTCCTCAAACCTCCACCATCAACCACGACAACACACAAAACCACCACCAAACTTCATAAAAAAACTCTAAGTAACCATTTCCAAACTCAAAATCAAACCAAAACCAACTCAAAACTCATACCCGTTTCACTACCTATTAAATCCCAAAATTTTCAAACAGAAATTCATGAAAAAACTGTCAATAAAAAAAGTTCTAGGCATCAAAAACTAATTCCTAGCACCATATTTAGGCTAGAACCTTACCCATTGTTTCTCAAATCTGCCTCTACAGAAGTTTGATTCTTCGAGCTAACATTTTCTCTCTCTAAATTCTCTCTTATGTTTCATTCTCTTCTGTTGATCCTATCCTTCCCCAACCGACTAGCATGTGCTCTTAACACTTCTTCAAAGCTTCTGGATGGATGGTGGGTGACAAGAGGCCCTCCTCCATGTTGTTTTGGTGATTAGGGTAAAACATGGTGGATTGTACAACCGCTCTCTGTATTCAACTCTCTCAATAGTGAAATCCTTACAGCTTCGTGGACATAGGCAAATTGTCAAATCACGTAAAATCTGTGTCTTATTCTTTCTTGTTTCTTATTGTTTTATATTTTTAATTTGTTCTTCGATTGTGTGTGTTTGTTGGGGGATTTAAATTGTTGTTAAATTTCAACATCTTTTTGACAAAATGACGTCGTTTTGTCCGCTAAACAGCAAAACGAATTCGTTTTATTTGCAGAGGAACTCACGCCCTAATAAAAATTCAACATCTTTGTTCATTTTCTCTCTGACATCGTGTAAAGCTCGTCTTGTGTTGACAAATTTTAAAGGTCACGGCAAACGCTTTCGCATCATCAGTTGATTTTTGCTCTCAATTCTTTTATGGATAGTTTGTTAAGTTATAATTTTTTGTTTCAAAATATTGGCTTGCATATTTTTGCTCACTTAATTTTCTTATTTGTTCTTTTTTCATTCATTTTTGTAACCTAATCTATAATGAATGTCACTATTTTAGTTCTTGAATAGCCATGATTCTTTAATAAATTTTTTTTCTAAATTGTTGAATTTGAAAATGATTAAGTAAAAGATGAAAATAAAGTAAAAGATTAGCATCTTTCTATTTAGACAATGTGATTATGTCAATTGATTATTTTTAGAATANTTCATGAAAAAACTGTCAATAAAAAAAGTTCTAGGCATCAAAAACTAATTCCTAGCACCATATTTAGGCTAGAACCTTACCCATTGTTTCTCAAATCTGCCTCTACAGAAGTTTGATTCTTCGAGCTAACATTTTCTCTCTCTAAATTCTCTCTTATGTTTCATTCTCTTCTGTTGATCCTATCCTTCCCCAACCGACTAGCATGTGCTCTTAACACTTCTTCAAAGCTTCTGGATGGATGGTGGGTGACAAGAGGCCCTCCTCCATGTTGTTTTGGTGATTAGGGTAAAACATGGTGGATTGTACAACCGCTCTCTGTATTCAACTCTCTCAATAGTGAAATCCTTACAGCTTCGTGGACATAGGCAAATTGTCAAATCACGTAAAATCTGTGTCTTATTCTTTCTTGTTTCTTATTGTTTTATATTTTTAATTTGTTCTTCGATTGTGTGTGTTTGTTGGGGGATTTAAATTGTTGTTAAATTTCAACATCTTTTTGACAAAATGACGTCGTTTTGTCCGCTAAACAGCAAAACGAATTCGTTTTATTTGCAGAGGAACTCACGCCCTAATAAAAATTCAACATCTTTGTTCATTTTCTCTCTGACATCGTGTAAAGCTCGTCTTGTGTTGACAAATTTTAAAGGTCACGGCAAACGCTTTCGCATCATCAGTTGATTTTTGCTCTCAATTCTTTTATGGATAGTTTGTTAAGTTATAATTTTTTGTTTCAAAATATTGGCTTGCATATTTTTGCTCACTTAATTTTCTTATTTGTTCTTTTTTCATTCATTTTTGTAACCTAATCTATAATGAATGTCACTATTTTAGTTCTTGAATAGCCATGATTCTTTAATAAATTTTTTTTCTAAATTGTTGAATTTGAAAATGATTAAGTAAAAGATGAAAATAAAGTAAAAGATTAGCATCTTTCTATTTAGACAATGTGATTATGTCAATTGATTATTTTTAGAATACAATAATGTTCAATATTCAATATCTTGTCTATTTTAAATATGTAGTATTATTTTTTATTTTTGTTCAAATTTTGTGTTGAATCTTACGATTCACGATTCGATACGATTCACGATTCTCAAATTTAAGATTTTGATTCACGATACGAATTGCGATTTGACAACTATGTGTGTGAGGGTATAATTTGGATTTTTATACTACTGTTATTGTGTGGTTATTTTTCTCTGTGGTACCCTGCAACATTGATGAGATGCCTAGACATTTTGTCCTAAGATAATCTTCAGTTCAACTGCTATCGTAAAGGTTTGTAAGTGGTTAAAATTTTGGCGCTAGTGGACTTCAACTTTGTTGAAATCTTTTTGTTTTATGAAGTCCTGAAATGGAAATTTCTCAGTGGATCTAGTGTCTTAATCCTATCAGATAGAATGTTTCTATGTCTTTGATGGCCTGGAACTTTGATGAAAACTTTGGCCTCTAGGTGGCATCACTTTAGAGTTTGAGCTTTTCATTTTTTTGGTAATATATGGAATACGTGGGAACAAACCTTATGGTTGAAACTTACTATTCTGTTGCCAAATTTCTAGTCTGTGGCCTATATATTCTCATTGCTTAAATCAGAATTTTGAATGGGGTGTCTTGATGGCTTAAACTTTTCGTTTTCATACACTTCAGAGAACCTTGAGATATTTAGGTATTCTTGTGGACCGTGGAGAGACCTTGTGTTTTGGTTTTGGGAATCCTAAGAGGGGGAAATGGATAGTAGTTTAGATTTTGGAGAATTGCTTATTACTCCATGTTAAAGCACCATAAATGTAATGCATACCAAGTGCTTGTGAATTTATAGAATGAGCACCCTGCTTAGAATCTTTATTATTGGCTTTGTTGAAGATGCTTGTTAAAGTGGTTAATGTTTTCTGGGAGTATCAGAGTGATGTACTTTTGAGGGTTTCAAGGCAACTTGGACAAGGGAGATTGTTTATTGTTTATACAGTTCTTGGGAGAAGGAGGGTGAGTGTTAATGGAGTCTAGATGACCTGATTTTTAACCTCAGTTTGTCTTTATTGTTGAAGCTTTTTATATACTACTACTAAATTATTGATAAGAAATACTAATACACTAATTCTCTAGTGGGACTTCAACTTTGCATCTTCCTTTTTGTGACAGGTTTGAGGGCCATTCATGCTAATAGCTGGCAGAATCTTTCTTATATTGTTCCTTGACACCTAATGGTTTAAAATGATTCAACTCAACAAAGTCTTGTTCCAACATTTTTTACTTGTTTTAAAATAACTATAAAAACTAAATTGATTGTCACAAATCCATATGCTTCCTATCCTCCTTTTGATTTCTCTTAACTTAAATACAAAAATTAACACTGCTGTTAGCTTGAGCGGTACTTTCTTTATTAAAGGGAAGGTGAAGGATTCAAGTTCCAGTTGGGACACGGATATGTATTACTTGTCAAAATGGAAACAAAATAGAAAGAAAAATGTTTTTAGTCAAATACCATTTCTTTAGAGATCAAAACCAGATGAACACTTCCGAACATCCCATTTCATATAGGTTGAAGCTAAATTTTTGTTCATAGGCATTTTGCATGAGCGATGTTGTTGCTGACATGTTATAAGGTTCTCTTTACCCATGCATCTGGTAGACTTCTTTCTTGTCTACCATCGAGTTTAAAGTAAACCATCAATTGAAGTCATTGATTTTAGAGATTATTTGTATAGGTCACCATACCTATGATGGTTTGCTGTCAGCATTCTTTAAGAGTGTTGTGTTGGTGATCTTCGCGTAGAATAATCTCAATCAAAGGCTTTATTGGCCCTCAAGTATTGATTCTTTTACTAGTGGGTTTATTGGGGTAGGCTGCCATGTCTATTGGCACCAGGATTGTAATCGTCATGTTATGTTGCTTATGTATATAATCATTACCTATATGTCCATTTTAGTCTTTCGATAGCTATGTGTCACTTGATGTGAAAATTTCCTAAAATCCTCGAGGCCTCTCAGTAACTTTTATGAAAAACATGTTTCCCTTAAGAATTCAATGTAATTTGTCTTTTCCAACTTTTTCTTGAGACAATTTAATATTCATTTAATAATTATCTCAAATTTCACATGCATCTTTCTCGATCCACATTACAGGAGTAAGCCCACTTTTCCTTGTTCCATGGTTATTTGACCATTGAACTCACTTTTAATTTCTGTTTCTGGTTCCATTTTCTTGGAATAATGGGTTGAAGTGGTAGATTGTCTTGAAAAACCTTACGTTCAAACTTGACAAACTTTGATTTGAAAGCTACTTATTATCTATCCTTTAAGCTTTGCTTTTTGTATTATTATTAATTTTTTTTTTTTTTTTTTTGAGAGTGACAGTGGATTTGCTAGCATGCTGTCAGACATTACTTGCTTGACAGTCTGTATGCATGTTTAAAGTTTGAGCCTCTGTGACAATGGTGTATTCCCCTTGAGTGACACTACTTCACGGTGTAGCCCCTTGACTGAAACTGCTTCACGGTGTAGCTATGCTTGAGATTCATCTGTCTCGAGTTCTTTTAAGCGACTAGATGCCCTGACTTATGACATAGTACAAGAGACCTCTTCTTTTACATTTAACAGGGTTAATTTGTTCAATGGTTAAATTTCCGCCCGATAACCTTGATTTGTGCATTCGAATTTGAGGACAACCACTTTTTGTAGATAATGTCCAAGGTGAGGTCTGCTCCCAAGCTACCCTTCCAAACCCCATTATTGGGAACTAAACTGAGTGTTATTGTTATAATTGAGATCGAAGAAGTAATGATTAGAGAGTTCTGGAGAATTACTTTTGGTTTCTTTGAGTTCTTATTCTGTTATTTTCCCCTTTGAATTTTTCACTATTATTGACCTTGGTATGAAAAAAGGAACTGAATGTAGAAGTATAAAAGAAGTCCATGGAAAAAAAACACAAAAATAACAACAAATAGTAGGTGAGCATGGCAGGATTTAGAAAGATCTGAACTGCTAACAGAGAAAGGAGACCTGTGTAGATGTAGGAGACAATGTTGGGCTCTGACTTCACAACTGCTCTTTCCTTTCCATGATGGTATAGAAATCATTTTCCCTTGCTTTGGTTTACAACCTTTTTGTTTGATGGTGTCTGAGTTTGAAAGTATGATTGGAACCATGAAAAGAATATCAACTGATATCTTGGGAAAAGGGTTTAATGACTACGATTCAAAGAATTTTGGTGATGAATCACTGGATTCTCATTGTGAATTTGTTGACTTCACTGGTATATTTGTGAAGACTGATAGTTGACGTCCTATGGTTTACTAGTTGAATCCTATTCGGTGATTTTTCAAATTCAAGATTGACAAATTGAAGCTCAAATTCTTTTAGATTCCACAATTTTAATTAAATCTGATATCAGCATAAACTACGAGCTGTGCATACTCTTTCTTCAAGAAGATACCTGTATGTAGTGCCAATAATAATTGATTATTTGGATCTTTAAGCCTTCAGTATTATCTTTTTGCTTGGCTATAGAAAACCAACTCCTTTGTTAAAACTGCAGTTTGCTTGGATATAGTAGAAAATTTCTTGCAGTGGGCATTTATACCTGAAAATTTGGAACTCAAACTTGGGTATGTTTATTTCTTGATTCGTAAAAGGCAGTCAAATATGCAAACACAAGTACTGCAATTTAAATGTGTATCATGATTGTGCTTATGAGGAAGTACTTGGATTTTCAATGATGGGCTTTGGTGAGTAAAGGATTTTGGGATCTCCCTTGTCAATTCATCAAAATTGAAATGCAGCCTGGAGCAAATGGAGTTAATTTTGATTGGAAGTTGTCGTAATATTATGTTTTGTCTTATGCCCTGTTGGACACTTGGACTAATGATCGGATTCACTGTCCTCCATTTATGTTATTTTTAATGAAAGTTATGTTTCTTATACCAAAAGAGAAAATGTATGTGATTACAGGACTGGTGGTCTAATTTTGAAATTTATGAAGGCTGGTCAAGCATTCTTAAAGGCCATCCATAGTGTAGAAAGTTTTTCACAATTCTCACTAGGGTAAAGACTCTAAATCAAGTTGACTCGATTCATTTCTGTTTTAGATTGGTTGGGAACATGGTTGACCATGAACACCACATTGTTTTCTTTCCTTTTTTTTGATTTATTCGAATGAAATCAGCATGACTGATAATATGAGAGGGCAGTCCTGGTCAAATTGATTGTTCCCTTTTTTGGAGGAATTTTTGGATAGTAAGAGCACAGATGTTGGTGGAGTATACATTCTTTGGTTGGATGATGGCATGAACCATATTTCTACATTTTGTTATCTGTTTTCAACATGGAGGTGTCAAGATGTATATGTTTTTAGCTAGGTGTGGAACAGTGTTCTATCTGCGACTGCATTCAATAATCCATGGTTAAAAATGGCAGGCCTGTGATTTTTAGGGCATGAGTAATTCTTGGTAGCTGTTGCATGAGCAAGATGAGGGGGAATCAGTGAATTATCCTCTGATCATTGTTTGGTTGCTGGGGAGCCTTAGGCTATTTTGTACATGGTTCTGTAAACAATCAATAAAGAGTTCTGTTAGCGGTCTTCGATGAACAGAGGCGGGCTAGTAACGGATTAACAGATGAAGCTTAGGTAAGGGTAAATGATCCCTAGTCTGATAACTTCAGTTAGTAGGTCATGCCTCATTTAGGGATAGACATGGTTTGTAGCTTGTCTCCATACTGTAATGTTTGGCACTTCTTGCAATGTCCATGTGATCTAGTGGTATAGTCTTTGGTAAAAATTGCAAAGATTTCATCAATTTTTTAGAACAAATAGCATTAGAAATATTTTCTTACTTAACGGACCAGATTATTACCTTTGAAGCATAAGTTTATCATGGTCCATTTGTTTACAAATGTCATGTCCGAAAAATCTGTAGTACTGGTGTTCATAAGTAATGAAAAATTTAACATAACTCTAACCTAAGGTTTTATTGTAATGAAATATTAATAAAAAATTTTACAGTGTTTGGTAAATATTGAGATCTGTAGTTCAACTTTGTCTATAAATTTTCTTAAAATTTCATTTTTCATGTGTGGACATCATGGTGCTCTTTTTTTTTTTCTTTTTTTTTTTTCCTGAAAAAAGGGGGATTGTGGAAGCCGAGGGTATGTCCTTTTTTTTTGGGTAAAAGAAGAGGGTATGTTTTGTGGCTTTCATCGTTCATCAGGTGGTTGGGACTCTTATGCTGGTTGAGTATTCCATTGCAGGCTAAGCCAAATGCAAACCTTTCTGGGTAAAGCGCAAAGCTGTAACACCACCAGCCGTGGGTACTACTGAGGTACCTCCGGGTGGTGTGCTGAAGAAAAAACCTAAAGCGGAGTGGAGTTGTGCATTCTGTCAGGTTAGTGCGACAAGTGAGCGTGGCTTGAATGAACACCTGCAGGGAAAGAAGCACAAGGCCAGGGAGGCAGGATTGCACGCACAGAGGAATGGAAAGAAATTTGATATTGGTCTGTTCCCAGAGAATACTGGCAAGCCAACCAAACTTATTGAAATTGCTGGTTAGCGAAATGGAGGAGGCATCATTGCCGAAGATTTTGGCTACAGAAAATGAAAATGATGCTCAAATGTTGCCTGTAATTCAGGACTTGGGTGATCCAAAGAAGAATGGGGAAGGAGCTCAAATAATGCAGAAGACTTGGGATTATAAGAAGAAGAGATATAGGTTTCTGTGCGAGATGTGTCAGATAGGGGCCCACTCTGAGAAATTGATAGAGACACATAAGAAGGGCAAGAAGCATGTGACCCGGCTTAAAGAAGTTAATAAACATGGTCAAGTTGATTCAACCATTCATATGGTGGAGGTCACTCAGAAAGAGAATGATGCAGAGGAGGCTGCTAGTAATGGAGATAAGGAAGTAACTGAAACTGTTTATGCAGCAGTAGAATGTAGCAGTGGACAATTTTCAAAGATGCTGGCAGCAGCAGAAGATGGTATTGATCTATTCCCAAAGAAAACTGGCAAGCCCACTACACTTGTAAAAATTACTGATAATCCAAGTTCAGAACAGGGGTTCAAAGTTGAAGGGGAAGGGCCGCAGGATACCAAAATGGAGGATGCATCATTGCAGAAGACATTGGTTGCGGAAAAGAAAAATGATGCATCACTGTTGTCTGTAGATCAGGACACAGATGATCCAAAGAAGAAAAATTGGGAGGGAGTGCAGATAATGCAGAAGACTTGGAATGCAAGGAAAAAGAGATATAGGTTTTTGTGTGAGTTATGCCAAATCGGGGCTCACTCTGAGAAGGTGATAGAGACCCATAAGAAGGGAAAGAAGCATGTGGCCCAGCTTCAGAAACTTTATAAAATTGGTGGAGCCAATTCAACTATTCAGATGGTGGAGAGCACTCAGAAAGAGAATGATACGGAGGGGGCTGCTAATGATGGAGATAAGGAAGTATCAAAAACTGTTTATGAAGCTGTAGGGTGTGACAGGGGACAATGAACAGGCATCAGCAGAAGTTGATATTAGTCGATCCCCAAAGAATACTGGCGAGCACTCCAAATTTTTCGAAGGTACTGGTAATCTAAGTTCAGAACGGGGAGTCAAAATCAAAAGGAAAACACCACAGTTTACGAAAATGGAGGCAGCATCATTGCAAAAGACTTTCTTCGCGGGAAAGAAAAATGATGCACGAATATTGCCTGTAAGTCAGGACACAGATAATCCAAAGAAGAAAAATGGGGAGAGATTTCAGATAATGCAGAAGACGACTTGGGATTATAAGAAGACAATGTTTAGATGTTTGTGTGAGATGTGCCAGATAGGGTCCCACTCTGAGAATGTGATGGAGACACATATGAAGGGAAAGAAGCATGTGGCTCGGCTTAAGAGATTTTATGAAAATAGTGAAGCATATTCAACCCTTCAGATGGTGGAGGCCCCTCAGAAAGAAAATGATTCGAAGGAGGCGTCTCACGATGTAGACAAGGAAATATCAAAAACTGTTTATGAAGCTGCAGGATGTAACAGGTGACAATCGCCAAAGATGCTGATAGGGGAAAACTGTGATGCGAAAGAGGGTGATCATCAGGCAGCAGCATAAGTTTCTGGTAATGGAAGCGAGTGGTTAATGTGGTCCGTCCTCTTGGTGAATATGATGCTGAAGGATGCACTGTCCATGATCTCCGAAAGGTAAATGTTTCACTGGCCATGTGCCCAAATGTCTATTTTTCAGTGTTGTAGCTAACTTTCCAGATAATTTATTCATTATGTGACATGTTTATTCGAGAACAGTTTCCCCAATGAGAGAATATATTAGGTTGGTTGGTATTTTCCTATCAGATCCTTGCCTTTTCATGTTTCTGATCAACCATGTTCTTTGAGCAAGTCATCCTGCAGCCCAACTTTATTCTTTTCTGAATTACTCTGTATTTACCTATGCTACTCACAAAATATACATCTTGTCATCAGCTTTTTCATATTCGGTTACCAGCTACCCTTGATCTTTTCTCTTCTGAAATCCACACCTATAGGGGACTGTGGTTCTTTTGCCGATGTTACAAGCACCATGTTTTCACACCTTGAAAGGGCTCCCGAAAGTAAATGTATCACCAAATAGCATTATATTGTTTCGTAGTCCTCATTGCAATCTAAAAGAGCTCCAGAAGGTATATGCATCATCAAATAGCCTTGTACTGTTTCATTGTTATCATTGCTATCTATTTTTATCTTATCACTGATTAAATTTCCTTCTTCTATGTTGGATTTAACTACTTTACCTTCACCTGCTGGGGAAAAAAAATTACCCACCATAGACGTGAGTCTTATGTGCTGGGTATGACCTTCGGCTTTTGCCCCTACGTTTGCACCCATATTCTTTTCATCTTGGTTTCGAACAGGGACTGGATGTTTTCATGCAAGTACTAAATAGACCACTTGCGCTTTCCTGATGCTAAATGATATCCTTGAGCAATTTGTTGTGTCATAGCTTCAAAATTTTTGGGCACTTGGGCGTTAGCTAGGTTTTTGAACTTATTGGAGGTATATTTTTCCTCCAAATTTTCACACCCATCACACTTTTTTTTTCCAAATTTTACAAATCCAACACAGACACTACAACACATACTCATTATATATATATACACACACTCACTCTAATACACAGTGTCATGACTTAGTATACAATGATTTCGGTCGCAAGATATCGCAAGTTATATTATATTTTTCATTTGCTTGAGAAATGAACGAAATGATTGTTGTGAATAGCATGTTATTTATTGTCAGACTAAAGGGTAAAATTTTTGTGGTCCTCTAAAAGTGGGGTTTAACCAAATATAAATTAATTTTAGACCTAACAAAATTTGATATTAATTTGAACTCTTAAAATTTGGATTTATATCTAAAATATAATAAATAAATAAAATAAATGTGTCTACTCTGCTAAAGGGATAAATTTTTGGGCATCCTATAAATTTTGGGTTTAACCAAATCGAGAGTAATTTTGGACTTAACGCAATTAGATATTAATTTGAACTCTTAAAATTTAGGCCCTAAAAATTTAGATCATATCTTAAAAAAAAAAAGCCTATTACACTAAAAAAAAATTGGGGGACCTCTAAAATTTGGGACCCTAAGCAAGCACCTCAGTTGCCTAACCCTAACGCCGGGCACCGCCTGAGAGGGGCAATACATCACAAATATCATTGCATATCTTAGACTATCTTTGAGAGAGGAGCTACAGTAAAATAAATTTTTAAATTTAGCTATTTTGTTCTAAAATTCCACTCTAACAAAATATATCGGAACATCTAAAATAATATTTTGCTATAGTAACATTGTCACTGTAATAGCATGTATAAATATTTTATAATATTTTCTGTCTCCTCCTTCTTTTCTTTTATTCTCTCACTCTCATTACTATCAAAAAAAATAATATAAAAAGAATGAAAAATAATATTTAAATAAAATAGTTTAAAAAATTATTAAAATATGTATCGAAAAAGTGAATAATTAAAATAAAAAATAATACTTTTTGAAAAACTAAACCAACTTTCTGTTCTAGGAGATATTCTAAGGCGGGGACAGTCGGAGTGAGGAGGCCGGTTGCCACCTCAATTTTCTTGCAGTGGCTGGTGTGGTTTTTGGATCGCTGCAATTTTTTATTTTTAATTTTTGGAACTTATCTAAGGCAAGACCAGATTGGACTTATTAGAAAACTCTCGATACTTGCAATCAACCGCTATTATGACAAGTATCGGTAACACTCATAATAAGTTAATCCAATCCCACATCACTGTCTTACGCGTCCAGGTTTTCATTGCTGCAATTTAATATGGAATTTGAATCACAACGATTACTCCAAAGGAGAAGAGGCAGACAATTTACAATCCTGTCGTTTGTTTCGTTGTCTTTTCATTTGTGGCCTTTTGTTTTCGTCTAATCGGTATTTCTGTCAAATTTCTATGAGCACAATGTGAAATTAATAATAATTGTGCGTGCTAGATCTTGTATAATATAAACACGAGAATAGATCTCTTCCTTGGTGAACTCGAGTAAATCAGTCGAATGGTCAACCCTGCTGCTTGTAACAGCCTGCGAGGTCCGGTGGTAACCTGAAACGGTAATGGGAGACCCTCGTGGATCAACGGAACGATCCAGTAAGACTAAGGAAGGTTCCTGGAACAAAAAAAGACAAGTTAAAAGGGCGCCGGAGTGTTTTTCGGCGTATCCCCTCCAACGATCAAGTCAGTTTTTGAGAGAGAGGAAGAAGAAAAAAACACTGAATATGTATTGTAGCAAAGGTTTTTCGTTGCCCCCCACCTTGCCTTTAGCGAGGAGTATTTATACCTCAAATACTCATGATTACTATCAGTGTGGTCAGTAGGTGATCATTAGATACAGGCAACGTGCGCACTGATTCCTACGAGGAATGTCTTCTCTTTTAACTGCTCAGGATCCCGAGCAACCAATGTTGTGTCATCGGGCTGCCGACTGTTCAATGAGCTCCTCTCGGGGAGGATGCAATAAATGTCCAGCCTTAGAGACATTTATTGTCTTTCACTTCCGAGCCTTACCGCATTGAATGCAGTCTCATCAAGGGAATGGTGTAATTAAATGCTTGCTTTCCCAAGTCGTGTGTTAGCAAGGGCATGCGGTCTTTTCTGTCTCTGATGTGACACAATATGCCACGCGCTCATTCCCCATTGGCTGTGGCCTCTGCCTTCCTGTGCCTTCTGACACCAATTGTGTAAGACAAGGTCATGATAGCTAACCTAGCCTAGCCTAGGCTAGTGACCTGTACATCAGTAGCTCTACAGGAGAAGAGAATGTCATCTTGGACGTTGGTACATATCGGCACCGAGGGGGGTTGGTACATCTCAGAGCCGAGAGGGGAGGTGCATATAGCGACCGATGTACCATATCAGACCGAGGGATACGTGTCGGTACGTAAACGTACTGGATGCCACTTGATCCCTATGACAAGTATCTCGGGGGAGAGGGACTTGTGAACCGATGGGTACGTGATCTCAGTAACAAGGATTAGTGATACCGAGGACACGTGTCTTCATCTTGAAGTATTTCGGAAATGTCCCATCAACTGCCCCCAGCCTTCTATCTTCTGACACCGAGGACACGCGTTGTAAGGAGACGAAGGGTTTTGCAACAACCCCAACTGCTTCATTATTGCCCCTAGCCGTTTTTCCCTGCTTAGGACGTCGTGCGCATTAAATGCGTCTTTTTCGTGCTTCGCGCCCAATGATGGGATTGGTACTATATATAAATGGGCTTCCTCTCCTCTTTTCTCATTTCTTCATTCTGAATTTCTTCAGAGAGCCCTTGCCTGAATCTTCGCCAGAGACCTCTTTCATTCCGTTTGTCAACCGCCCAACCTTTTCACTAAAGTTTTAAGGCCAGAAGACTTATCCTTGCTTCTGAACATTCTGAAAGGAGTCGATTCAAGTTTTCCAGAAAAAACTTCTTTTTACATTCTAGTGAGTCCCAGTATCTTCTCTCTCTTCGCCCTTCTGTCTCTTTTGATTTTCTGATGATGGGAGGTATTTTTTGGTTGCCATTCAGCGACCAATCCTAGGAAAGCCTCCTTGGGGATCTTCGTGGAAAAGACCCCCTCCATTTTTTATCGCTTTTCAGAGATGTCTCGTCATCGCCCTGCCCCCGAGAATCCTTAGGACAGTTCTTCGAGGCCAGGGAAGTATAAAGTAAAAAGTGGTGAGCAAATTAATAGATTTAGGGTTAAGTACAGCGTTCCCCCGTATGTAGACATAGAGGATTATAACCCGGTTGTGCACCCTCGTACCCTCGGTACCGAGGATGCAATGCCCTTTTATACCAAAGCCATCATAGAAGGCAGAATAAGGTTCCTTTTGCCCCCTCTACTTCTCAAGTTCCTCTCCCATTTCCACCTCTTCCCCGGGCAATGTTGCCTTAATGTCTTCAGGATAATTATGGAGATTCTAGACCTCAATAGGCGTCTCGGGGTAAATGTTGGGCTGAACGATATCCTTTTTTGCTATTCTCTCTTGAGAGTCATGCCTCAACAACACTTCTACCTCAAAGCCAAGGACCCATCTATGTACCTCGTAACTCACCTTCCTGACTCGGACAAGGGGTACAAGGATGACCTACTTATCTTCAAGGGATCTTGACAGAGAGGTGTCGGTCCCGAGTATAACGGCTTGTTATGCCCTTTGGAATGGAGAACGACAAGTACGTCAGTTCCTTCGGGTCTATTATTTTATTTTTGAGATTTTCTACGTGTTCATAACTCACTCCCTCTTTTTGCTTGTGCAGACATCTCCCCTCGAGAAACATCTCTTCCACCTCGATCGTTGGTGAACTTTGTGGACCTAGTCACTGTTTGGAGATTCACTAGTCACGACGGGCTCGGTCGGGCTGCCCACATCCTCCTAAATTACACTCCCGAATGCAAAAAGTTTTCACAGCTTCCCTAGTCTTTCGAGCCTTCGCGGTGGTCTGAACTCTTTGATCAGGCAGTGAGGCAAGAGGTCGAGGAGA